TTTGTATTAATCTCTTCAGACTTTGTAAATTAGAGAACATAAATGGGAATATTAAGATGCTGCCTTTCTCATGTCTAAGCTTGTTAATTTGATAAATTGGAGGTAATTTGTTTTTTTGGGTGACTAGTCTATTTGGTAGTGAGCCAACACACAATTAACTGCATGGTTGTTACCTTATCTTCCACTTGATTAGAGGATCAGTGAATTGAATAGAAGCTTTTCTATCAAGTACCTCTGACCTATGTAGAGCATCCTTTTCCTTTCCTGAAACCTCTGGATGGGATCATAGTCACTCAAACTGTCTTCAGCTATTCAACATAGAGGAACATATCACTCATTATTTAGGTAAGATTTTGGAGTACCACAGAAGATAGTCTGAGGACTGGCAGAGCAAGGGGCCATGGCTGAGCTGGTGATAATTGCGCAGTGCCAGTAAAGAAAGTCAGCATCTATCCTGGATGCACAAGAACATTCACACTAGCCACTTAGTTTGGCTGATGTATATGAGGTGATCATTATCATTGATTATTTGTTTGCCATTTTTTTTTTTTTTTTTCCTTTTATTGTTATTGTCATCATTATTATTGATTTATTATTGTTTTGATTTCTTGTCAAAGTCTGATTTGAAGCCTAGAATATTGGCCATGATAGGTGCTGACGTTCAATGCGCATGTACTAGAACGCATTCCGCGATATGGGATTTTTTACCCATTTATTGATGCTGTGGAGAATGATGAGTGGGTCTGCGCAATAGACCCCTAGAACTCCACATAGACCATGTTGAGCCAGGCTCGTGCCTCTTGTAAGCCAAGTCTTGTTCAACTTTGCTGCCGCGCATATATAAATATCCAGTCCTCAGGGAATGATTTTTCCCTTAAATTATGTGAATGTTGGTGATAAAAATAGTATCACTGATAAAAGTGCAGGAATTAAGTGCAGATATATATACATAAATGTATATATATATATATAGTTAATAGCTATGTAAATGTTTGTTTTGTAAGTAATTAGATGTAAAGAAATGTTACTGTAATAAGTTGAACAGTGCTATTATTCCCAGAAGGCTGGACTTTGCGTAACACACATTTACTTTCTAGCAGTGTATTTTTTTCTTTTTTTTTCTTTTTTTTTATAACTATTGTCACCTGTTGGCTTCTGTCTTGTGCTGGTCCTTGCACCAGTCTTCTGTGGCTAGATAAGTAAGTTTGGCTGTGCGAGGGTTTGTGTTGCACAGAAGTTCCTCTATGTTATTTCCATACCACATTATTTTCCTCTCAGACTTGGTCAATAGAACCCATATACAGTGAAATTAGAGATACCGATTGTATCTAAGTTTCTGAACTGAAGAAAATAACCTTGATGCTTGGGCTTTCTTGCTATTTCTGATTTCAGTTTATCATTTTTGTTTTTTTAAGGAAAAATACCATATACATATATGTAAATATATATATATGTGTGTGTGTGTGTGCGAGTGTGTGTATATATATGTATATTATACATATGTATCAGAGCAAGTTGTTTGTAATGTTTTATTAAGATACATAGTTTTTTTTTTTTTTTTTCTCTCTCTCTAATATATGTTTAATGCACTTTTCCTTTGAAAGAGACATAATGATTAGAATCCAACAATCCAGAAACCCCAAGCATCCTGGTACAGAACCACGTCAAGTGCTGTAACTACAAGCGAATACTAATAGAATTCGTTTTTACTTTTCTTCCCTTGGTCGTAATAGATGTTGAGGCTGTACAGCCCTACTCCTCTGCAGAGGTCGACATGGAGAAGCCTTCGTAATTCCCGGAGCACTTAAGATGTAGGTGGACCTGCCGGAAAGCGCCATGTAAGGGTTTGTATTGTGAGGGAAAGATGAAGGAACTCCTCAGGGGGAATTTCTGTCAATGGGTATGCGACTCATTCAGGTATGGTTGTAACTATATCAAGAAGCAATTGGTAAATATGTAAAGTGCCCTCATCAAGAAAAGCAGTTAGCCTCCGATGCAGATGTGTTCATGGGGTTTCATGCTTTTCATCGGGTATTTAGAAAAAGGAAGAAAAAAAGTACTGGTACTGTGGGTCATGGGCTGATCTCATTTAACTGTTGGAGGCTGACAGATTTCATGAGTCAAGATGTTTTGAAAAGAAGGGCAGCGCACGCTTAGGATAGGGCACAAAGCGCGGGTACGCAATAGGGCGGACCTTTCCAAAGTCATTGCTTGTGTTATAGCATGAATTATGGGTGTTGTGAAATAATTTTTATGAACTTTTAGTGATTGCTTTAAGGTCATTTTCTAGCTGCTTTAAGCTTGGAATTCATGCTCACACAAGCTATGATGGGGAGGTCGGGTCGCAGGCGAGCGTTTAGGCAGCGGCGCGCAAGGCGAGCGTCTAGGGCGACATCAATTTCTTCCTCCAGCAAGTTCTGATATACTTTTTGTTCCCTTTCTTGAAATTATATAGGCTTGCTACCTCAAGGCCATAGAGACAAGACCAGACTTTGCTGTGGCATGGAGCAACCTCGGATGCGTCTTCAATGCTCAGGGTGAAATCTGGCTGGCAATCCACCACTTTGAAAAGGCTGTGGCTCTTGATCCAAACTTCTTGGATGCGTACATCAACCTCGGAAATGTCTTAAAGGAGGCCAGGATCTTTGACAGGTACAGTACTCCTAGATGTTTTTATTTTTTATTATTATTTTTTATTTTTTTTATTTATTTATTTTTTGTGTTGAATATGTGTGATTTCTGTGTGCTGTTCTTGGAGTATTCTGGATTAGACATTCATGTTGTGTGATTGTAAAAGTGTTTTTTTTTTTTTTTTTTTTCCTCCCCCTCAAGATTTATTTTGTTAGACTATGTATATATATTGGTTTATCTAATTTTTTATGTTATTTATTAAATGAATAATATTATATATATTATATATTTATTATATATATAATATATATATACTATATACATATATGTATGTAATATGTATGTATGTATATTATACATATATGTATTATATTATATATATATGTATAGTATACATATATGTATGTATATGTATGTATATATATGTATGTATATGTATATTATGTATATATATATGTATATATATATGTATATATGTATATATATATGTATATGTATAATATATATGTTATATATGTATGTATATATGTATATATGTATATATATATATGTATATATGTATATGTATATGTATGTAGTATATATGTATATATTATATATATGTATATAGTATATGTATATATATATATATATGTATATGTATATGTATAATATGTATATATATATATATG